TCCATCCCAAACAAAATATTAATTATCCAACATGGTCCATCTCAGTCATCATAGCCAGTCACAAAATTAGGAAGTTTGTTTTCAACAGCAGACACACACTACAAAACGGAGTGCGTCAAAACGAGTGTTTGTTAATTTTTAGTGATAAAGAATCATGAAACGTCCTAGAATAACTGACTTTTTTCGTCCGCTGTTGCAAAGAAGGAAACGACAGATAGTCCTTTAAGGTGGGTTATTGATTACAAAATCAATTAGCCTAGCCTAGATGTTGACTAGCAGGTTCGCTCCTCGTTCATTTAGAGACAGAATTATACCCCGACGACAAGAAACTAGTGTAGGCCTAAGTACAGTAGGACGTACTACAGGTACTAGGCATAGGCTTTTGTTGTAAAAGTGCATGTACAGGATGCGCCATAGGCCTATATTAAAAAAAGATTTTTTAATATAGGCCTATATATTTTGTTAATTATTATTGGTTGGCCTGGGACCTAGCAGGCAGGCCAGCTTTACCGTCGAAAGTCATGGGATTCGACGATGACGTCCGTGCACGTTTACAAACGCCATTGATTAGAATGAAAATAGACGCGCTGAATTTCGTGTTTTTTTTTTATGAAAGATAGAATTTATCGAACATTTATATATAAAAACAAGATTAATATTTTAGAAATTGTATTTTGAAAGATGCATATAATTCATATTTCATTTAGTAGACAATAAATATTCAGTAAGATATTCTAAAAACGATTATTAATTCTGAAATGTGCATCAAATCTCAGCAATTATTAAACAGTATGTATTATGTTCTAAAGTCTTAAAATAATAATTTCGAATTTAGGCCTAGTATATAACAAATAATTGTAATTAAAGTGTAGGTTCTCATGATGTCAGATGACGTATTAAATATGATGCTATATTTTGGGCTCTGACTTAATTTAACGATGGCCCTGTCAGTAGTAATGACAATATTTTGTGCTTTTTTTTTAGCCATGTAGTAAAATAGTACTATTATTTTCAGTGTACAAAATGAGAGTTAAGAAGAACTAGTAGAAGAAGAAGAGTAGGAAGAGGTAGAAGAAGAAGAAGAATAGCTTTTTTTTTGTTTTATAATAATAAATGTGTTAAGTATTGATTATGTAATGAGGTTTTTTTATATATCTTTCGGTGTGATTTAAACATGCTAATTCTCAGAAAATATTTTCTAATTTTATTATATTATCACCTTTTTATTACAAAGAGCTTTTTCAAAACATAACTGCTTTTATAACATTATATAGACCCATTAAACACAAAAACTGCTCTGGCTTCGGGGGCAACGGAAGGATTGCGTTTAACGATACGTCATTCCAAAACTGCTACTGGTAAACTGTCAATTATTCTTTCTATTCAGAAACAGCTTTGTAATCGATTTTGTCCTGTTTACAATTTACGTAGGCCTATACAGTACATACTTTCTGCCACGCATCAGGGCCACTTCTTCAGCATATCGATGGAAGACCCATTCCTTCTCAATTTATTTCTGATAAAATCAGGAATTCTACTTCCTTTATTGGCCTGGATGCATCGTTACATAAAGAAAACAGTTTTTAAATCGGCGCGGCTTTTCATGCAGCGTCATTGGGTTGGTCTGAACAGATGATCCAACAAGTTGGTATGACATTCCAACGCCTTCCGCAATTTTATAGGAATAAATGCATTTACTTTATAATTTTTTTTTTTTTTTTTGAAAAGTTGAACAACATATGGTTGTTCTCCAAGCATATGGCTGCTAACCGTAACAAGTACAGTATATTATAAAATTGCATCATTTACTTGCGTCATTATTAGAATTGCATATGGTTGTTTATCGAGCTGGTTGATCGATGATCAATATGTGTCTTCTCTGGAGGGTCTCTTCTAGTTCCCCTGGCTAGTTTGGACACCCAAAAAGCAGTTGGTGTACTTGATATGTATTTATATAAATAATTTTTAATTTACCATACGGTGGACTAAGGGTCCATAAAAAAATTACTTCATATTACAATGCATTGTAGTTATGTTCAATGTAGGTTCATTTGTATTTTCATACCTTATGTAGATGCATATGCATTATTTGGATGTTAATTTATTTTAACACGTTTGCCATTAATTAAATCTTGTTAATAATTTTAGCTTTCAGGGAGTCAGCCTTGTATCTGAGACAAATACAATATACAATATACTCGTATATTTTGTCTCAGCTTGTATATAGCATATAAGCCTGCTCAACCGAGAATGTTGTGACTGCCCCCTGTTGTACCCATTGTATCATACATACTTTTCGTAGTTATTAAAATGACATTTTATCATCATACAATTTGGCGGACTGTTGATTTTGTGTTGCGTGGGATTGTGTGGCTTTCGCGTTATGCAAAAAAAAAAATTTTTCGAAGCTGAGGCTAGAAAGAGCCTTTTGCATCGTAGATCAGCCATAATTTTAGATATCTGTATTAAAGAAGTTAATTCATCGAAAGAAATAAGCCCTCTAACACTATGAATATTAATAAGCACCCGTTTGAGCCACACCTTGTTTTTGGGTACCATTACCTTCTCCCTCGAATCTACTGCTCAACCTCTCGGTGAGAAATATATTCATCTTTAATGATTTCCCACCTCCAACCCCATCTCCGCCATTGAAATCCGTGCTGGGTCATATAGGCCTTGGGCACCCAAAAGGCATTTGGTGTATTTGATATGTATTTATGTAAATAATAATTTTTTATTTACGATGCGGTGGACTAAGTGTTTATAAAAAATTACTTCATTATTACAACGCATTGTAGTTGTCATGCTCAATGTAGGTTCATTTATACTTTATTTGGATTATATGCATTATTGGATGCTAATTGATTTTAACACGTTTGCCATTAATTAAATCTTGTTAATAATTTTAGCTTTTAGGGGCTTAGCCTTGTATATAGCATGTAAGCCTGCTCAACGGAGAATGTAGCGGCTGCCCCTGTCTACTATGTACTTACTGTATCGTATATACTTTTCGTCGTTATTAAAATGACATTTTATCATCATACAACTTGGCGGACTGTTGATTTTGTGTTGCGTGGGATTGTGTGGCTGTCGTATGATGTAAATATGATTTCAACGTTGAAATATATGGAACGCCTCCTCTGCCTTCAGTTCACAATCATCATGCAGTCATTACCAATCATCATGCAGTCATTACCAATCATCATGCAGTTATTACCAATCACTATGCAGTACTTACCAATCACTATGCAGTACTTACCGAACACTATGCAGTACTTACCAATTACAATTCAGTAGAATATGCGCAAATTTATACCGCCACCTATAGACAACATTGAATATCACGTGAAGTTTAGTAGACGGCTGTAAAAGCAAGTCTATTCAAACAGTTATTATTTACTCAGTGTACTACATATATGCTTCTAGAGTTGCTTCTTGTTTCTCACCACCCATCTTACTACCACACTCACTAGGCCTAGGCTAATAGATAGTCCACATGCTTTATTTTTACGAATAATATATGATTTGTAATCTGTCTTAGGCCTATTACAAGGGCAGACGTTAGGCCTATAAATTAATTTTAACAAGATTAATTTAAATTTAGTATTTTAAAATGCGAAAAAAATAGACCTTTCTAAGTCTCTAGTCGTATTATGCCTAAAACTATATGCTTTAATATTACTAATAGGCCTAGCCTAATTTAGTTAACTACAAATAAGTAACTCCCATCTTATTATTAATTATTAATTACCGGTAATTATTATTATTATTATTATTATTATTATTATTATTATTATTATTATTAATTTTCAAAATTATCTCTAATTAAAGTTGGTTTACATTTCTAAAATTAATCAAATGCTTACGGTAACACAGCATATAGTTTAATAAAAAAACAGAAAAAAAAAAATCTTTGCAGATTTTCTTAGTTCTTCAGGGCCTATTGAGCTAAATACAGTATGTTGCTGCTGCCGCAAAGCAATTATTTCAATAACACATAAAATAAAGTACTCCAGTATGCAAACCTTTAAAATATTGTATTTAATATAATTGTACAATTGTTTAATTATAATTGTACAATTATAATTGAACAATTGAAATTGTTCCAGTTTAATATAATAATTGTATTGATTGTCTGATAGAAATGAATCAGCTCTAACTAGCTAAATACTGGAGTAATAAACTGTAATAAACCTGCTAAGATTTTTTTCTTTCTGTTCTTTATTAAACTAAAATATGCTGTGTTACCGTAATCAAATTATTCCAGTATGCAAACTTGAAAATATTGTATTTATTCACTGAGTAAATAATAACTGTTTTAATAGACTTGCTTTTACAGCCGTCTACTAAACTTCACGTGATATTCAATGTTGTGTATAGGTGGCGGTATAAACTTGCGCATATTCTACTGCATTGTAATTGGTAAGTACTGCATAGCGATTGGGAAGTACTGCATAGTGATTGGTAAGTACTGCATAGTGATTGGTAATGACTGCATAGTGATTGGTAATGACTGCATTATGATTGGTAATGACTGCATGATGATTGGTAATGACTGAATGATGATTGGTAATGACTGCATAGTGATTGGTAATGACTGCATGGTGATTGGTAAAAACTGCATGATGATTGGTAATGACTGCATGATGATTGGTAATGACTGCATAGTGATTGGTAATGACTGCATGGTGATTGGTAAAGACTGCATGATGATTGGTAATGACTGCATAGAGATTGGTAATGACTGCATGGTGATTGGTAAAGACTGATGATGATTGGTAATGACTGCATGATGATTGGTAATGACTACATGATGATTGTGAACTGAAGACAGAGGAGGCGTTCCATAGAAATAACGTTGTGTGCCTACTGAGTTTCTAATAGACGATCACACTCATCTCCCATTATACATAATTTGGATTGGCTTCCCACTAATTCACGAATAAAGTATAAAATCCTCCTACTACACTTAAAGCACTACGACTTCAACAGCCACTTACCTATTTAATCTCTTTCCTATGTGTCCTTAGCCTCTCTCTGTTCTTTCGACCTTAACTTGCTAATTCTTTCTATAGTTCTGTTTTTGCTGAGAATGTCTCGACGTTTAGGCTTCTATCGTCATCAGGAGAATAGTATCTACAGAGTCCAGGGAAATACTTATATGATTGGAAAGTGAAGCTTGCTGATGATTGGTGGAAAGCGATAAAGTACACATGGACAGCCAACCAATCACTCGCGAGTGATTTCAAAATGTTAAAACAGTTGGCAGTCACTGGATTTTTCACCTGAGAAGCGGTCCGGCTGGTCCGGTTTTGGCCGTACCAATAATTTTAATTTAATAAAATAATTTAACTAACTCAGTATCGTTTGTAAGCCAAATTCTACTTTCTCTGACGCAATCAAACAAAACTTGCATATGCAGCTTACTGAAAATGTGAAAAAAAAATTTGAAATGATTTCATTCTTTACTGTAGTTAAGTATCAATAGCTTAGGCCTATTTATCATGGTTTGATTCATCACGTAAATAATATTTGGGCCAAGAAATATAAACTCAGAAATATCGGGATGGCGTCCGGCAGGAGAATTTTTTATGCAAACAGACATACCGCAGAGAGGAAAACAATTACACTGTATTGTATGATAGTGCCATTTAATCAATGACGAAAAGTAAAGTTTAAAAATACAGTACAACAAATAGGTCAGTACTAGACTAAAAAAATAAAATCCACTAAAATGCTGACCCTACAACAAATTATGCAATTCTATTTCAACCAGTTACAACTAGAAAAGGGTTATCTAAAAAACCTCATAGGAGATACAGTACAGTACTTGGAGTTTCACTGGGATACAAATACATAAGCATCAAACTTAATAGGCCTAACAAATACGATAGGATGTATTTCGAAACATCAAATAGTAACAATTACACAGTATATATGACAATATTATGTGAAGACTGTGTGCCAGAAAGGCCAGACCCACCGACAATGGGAGCACCCAGAAAAGGAATTACAGAAACTGTAACTCTCCATGTCTTTGTTTTGTATAATTTTAGGTTGGTAAGAGTTACCAATAGATAGTGTATCTACAATCCCCGTTCTCAGATACGGCAGCCCACAAGTCGCACGAGTATACAACTTGGGTAATACTGTAACGACATAATTTGTAAAATACTTTTAAATAATCATAATTGTTACCTATTCTTTATCTTGGTATTCTCTTACCGGTAAATACCATCTACCGTTAAACCATTGCGTCGAGGTAACAAACCGAGGGTTTCTTTTCTGTGAGTTGCGAGTTGGAAAATGCGAGTTGCGAGTTGGAAAATGCGAGTTGCGAGTTTGGAAAATGCGAGTTGCGAGTTGGAAAATGCGACTTGCGAGTTGGAATATACGAGGTGCGAGTTGGAATATGCGAGTTGCTAAATGCGAGTTGTAAAACGCAAGTTGCGAGTTGGAAATAACTCAAAATATCAACTTCAGAATAAGTATTAAAGTTCAGATACACTGAGTCAGTGAATACAGTAAAAGTCAACATCAATGATAAGCCATAATTTGCAGACTACTGCTCACTATGCAAAACAGTGGAGTTTTTATTGCGTTTTAATAACGTTTCAATTTAACATTCAGAAACGTCATTATAACGTTATTTTGATGTTTTTAAACGTTTTTAAAACATTCTTAAAATGTGTTACAATACCAAAGTCAATGCAACTAGAGTTAATTTTAACTCTAGTTACATTGATTTTGGCCTTGTAACACCTTTTAAGAATGTTTTAAAAACGTTTAAAAACATCAAAATAAAGGTAAAACTTTTGAGTTGGATCGGTGTTCCAAGACGTTTTCAAAACTTGAACAAACGCTGTACACTAAAACGTGAATATCCTTAGGTCGGCTTCTGGTCAACAGGTATGATTCCAACTACATCGTGTTAACTGTGGTGCTCCGGGATAAAGATACAAAAGAGGTCAACAATACAAAAGTACTTACACTTACGTAGCATTATGTGTTTATCCTTTAATGTTTAATACTGTACTGTACTTTGTTATACTGTAGTTTTGCAAAAGCTCCATTTCAATATAGGACAAAAATATATACAATAATCAATATCCAAAAAATTAATAAATCAAAATCAAGTTAGAGTCAAGTGCTGACAATTCTATACTATTTCCGTAAGTACAGTTAATAAAAGATCAAGTTCCATATCATCTATTCAGTATTTGGTAAGTTTATTTGATTTTAAAAATTTCAAACAAATATCAAAAATAAACAAGAGGCCCAGTGTACAAACACTCCATAGTGCACGCTTAAAAACCTAGGATATTTAGAAAAGCAGATGGCTACACTGTCTCTGGATCAAGCCTTAGCTGTTCTGTCACAATGGAACCATTTGCGGAGTAGAAAGTTGTATCAGAACCAAAAAAGAGGATGTGCTACAAAAACGCATTGACATAATATTGCCGTCGTCCTCATCGTTGTCATCTCTTCTGGCATCTACATTTTCAAAATTGCTCAAGTTTCTGTAAAAAGTGAACACAAAAATGTGTCTATTTAATTTACAGTCGGCCTACTTTGCTTTTTATAAGTAATATTTCTACATGTAGGATGAGTTTTAGTATTGTTTTCTGAAGTGAAGTGACTTTTCATTACTGTTAAACTTGACTTAACCAAACATATTCTTTTGAATATCTCATAGTAAAGCATTTGCTATATAACAGCTATAAAAACTATATATATACTCTTAATAAAGTCCAATGGTAACACCAACTCAATAGATTTAATTACAAACGTATGTATGATCACCCTTGTTAATATATTATTTGACTGCTGAATATTAGTCCTATAAACAAATTCAACAGATTAGAATAAACACATTTATATTTAAAATAACATGTGTATGTGAAATATTTAATAATATAAGGTAAGTAAATAATATAAGGTAAGTACAAATTATAATGGTAATTTAAAACTTTCTAATAACTTGTCTGAAGACGTGATACATTACATCCTTAAAACTATGAAAAGGAACATTAATTTTTGTCATTAAATGCCTCGCAGCTAATACACTTTAAGGCCTAGGCCTACAGGATAACTGTAGAAATAGGCCTAAGATCCGTATTTAGATAAAACCATGACAAAACCAATAAACCTGACGTCAAATAATACCAACAAACTAGGGCCTATCATTGTAGAAAACGGTTTTTTTTCCAGAGGGCATGGACATTAGACCTTTAGCTCCCAGTGCGACTTTGTGCTCCCTTCGCTAGCAAATCTGTTCATACTTATATTTTTCAACTCTCTGACTACCTACCTAGGCCTAGGGCTCTGGCTAGTTGATGTGTTTTCCTATAGCCCTGACCCGAGGGTAGGCCTGGGCCTGGGATATCTCTTTCAAGGGAATCTCATAAATCAAGTTAACTGCTTACGAATATATACCAAAACTTTGGACAATCCTAATTTACACATAACAAATTACAGTTAATTTAGTCAATCAAAATATAATTCGAATACATACATTACTGATTTTGATAACGTTGTTTAACAATTTCTCAGCACAAATAGGTTTGTTACAGTATTAAAGTGAATCTACGCTACTATGCCTGAATATGATTGAAATTGAATAATAATTGAACTTTGAGACTTCAAATTAAATGCTGATACTAAACAAAATATATCTTGTTAACAGGCCTGCTTTAATTTTGTTAAATAAGTCAATTAACTGCACTTATAAACACCATGTAACCGTCAAATATTAAATCTTAATTATTTTGGTATATTATTATTAAAGGAGCCCCAATGTCCCTGCCCCAGTGATAATATAATATCCGTAAGTACCAGGTAGAATTGTCTAGTAATTAACAATAACCGACCTAGTTAATTTAAAATCCCTTTAATATATTTTTTTAATTCGTATGCATCAATTAAATAGGCATCCCGTGGGTGAATTAAGGAATAAAGAGGGGGAGGGGTGTTTGTTGTTTTTGATGATTGTTTAGCTAATGTAAATATTGTTTTTAACTTTTAAGTTAAATACCTCTCTCTAAAAGGATGAGAGGGTAAGAAAAAAGATGTTTACTAGCATTTAAATTTACTGGATACGTCATCTACGCAAGAGTGTCCTTTTCTTTCAGGATCCAACTTCTACAACTATCTCAGCAGTTCTCGCACTGCTCGTGGAAGGCCGTCGATGCCGCTTTTTGCGAATATAATTAAGAAAACACATTAGCCGTGCTGTGTTAGCAGTTTGTGTAAAAATTGCGGCTTTCCCTCGTTTTTTCAGGCCAAACGCCCTCCGTAGTGTCCGCATTTCTGCTAGTCACAGGCAAACGCTGATCTGATCTAGTCATATGCTAGTCTGTATACCATTACAGCCAATGGCAGTGCCATCCAAGATTTACCAATTAACTAAAACACTGAAGATATATTTTGATACCTCTCGAGGGGACCCCTGAAAAAGGGGTAATATATAACTTGTTTTGGTCTTTCATTATAACATTGGCCATTAGCCATCCATTATCAATTTAAAAGAATGTCCAGTTTATGGTATCAAACGATTTTGTGAAATCATAGGTTTTAAAAAGTGGACCTTTTGCAACTAAGACAGCTTTTTAGCGAGTATAATTATATAAAGAAGCAAATGTTAGCAGTGAAGAAAGTGTACATATACGGATTTTCCAGAACGTCCTCCGTATTGTCAGCCTTTTTGCTAATACGTCAGCCAAACGCTGATCTGATCTAACTATATGCTAGTCTGTATAACATCTCGACGAGATTTGATTGACAGATAAATCGGCTAATCAGCGAGCATCATTTAGTCACATGATCAAAATCTTTCTCGGACATTTTAATTTCATAATAGACAGCTGGTTTAAACGCGAAACATACATGAGCCTAGGCCTAGATGTATATGCTTGGTTATAGATACCGAGATTTACACGAAGAGTGCGCATCACCGACTTGGCCTTTGCCGACAATGAGGTTGACTGAATGCGGCTTTTCCCTCTTCCTTTGGGAGCGAAATAATTTCCCCGCCATGTTCCATGAAATAGATTAACACTATGAATATATGATTCATTTGCATACTGCCTACCCTGAATTCTCTTTCTTAAAGAAGGTTGATAGC